AGATCAGGCGCCGCCTCGTGCCTGGTCTAACGCCCCGCAAATAACGACTTTGCTAACGACCAGGGAGAACGGGCGCCTGTCGTTATTTAACGGAAGACGTTGTTTTCCGGATTTGGATCCGTGGAGGTCTGCTGGAATGAAGGCGATGGGGCGACAAGAGGATCTCTTTTTCTGAGTCCCCAAAGGAATCCGTGGGGTGCAAAATCTCTTTTACACCCCTGTAAAATTCTCTTCCGCCCTCTCCTCTCTCCAGGAGCCTCGGACTGACACCAGTTCCAGAGTTCACAAAGCACGTGTGGACGACGCGCCCCCCCCCCCCCTGTTTCNGATCCTACGCCTGTTTCTGAAGAAGCCTGCCCCACTGTCTTCCATGGGGTTTGCTCTTGCGGTAAACCAGGAGGGCCTCCGGGGCCCGATTCAGACGAGGGTCCGGTTCACCCTCTTTCGCTCTGGGCAGGACCCCGACGAGGGCTTCCTCGCGAGTGGTTAGGTACCAGGACTGAGCCCCTTGAGATGGAAATCTCATGGTCGAGTTTCAGGTTTTGGGGGGGTCGTCTTCTGGATCAAGAGGCGATTCCATCCCCCACAAAACATACACACACAACCCACCCCGATTCTCCCTCACCCGTCCCGACGAAAATAAATACACGTGAAATTTTATCCCGACGCATCTCAGCATCCGTTTGCTCTCCTTTCCTGAATCGGACCGGAGGCAAGGGAGGAAGTCTTGAAGCCAGCAAAGCCCTTGCTCCCAAATAATAGGCATGTCTGCTAGATTCGGTGTGAAACCAGCTTGACTCCGGATCGCTCAAGTGGAATGACCTTTGGGTGGGAGTTGGAGGGGGGGGTTTCCCCGTTCCTAGAAAGAAATTGGCCTTTTCTGTTCCCATCAACACGGGTCAAGACCGACTACAGCAGCCCGCCCCGGAGTTCAATGAAGACCATTTAGACGATGTATCTGATCCGGATTGAAAAAAGTTAAGCGCCACTAGTCTAAAGAAGGGGTTAGCTCGCGGCTATAAGAGCACCTACTCCAAAGTAAGCCCTCGGAGTTCCCACGGGTAAATCCTTTTAATTTCCCCGGGAACTCGGAAACCGTCTAGGAGCTTTACACCGCCTTAACGCCGTTGTGGATCGGGATGTCTCTGAGCCACAGCAAGGAATAATTTCCTTGATGGCTGAGGGAAAAGGGGTCTTGGGGGGGGGTCCCACCTCCTCCTCCTCCTCCTCCTCCCAAAATCTAAATCCAGCATCCCGAGGCGAGGCTAAGCGCTGGAGACCCATAAAAGGAAAAAAAAAAGTGGGCGAAGATGTAGATGCGGGGAGGGGGGGGCTGAGAAAAAGGATCGGGGCCACCGCCTACCCCCACCCCAGATCCCGATGACTCAGAGTCTCTCCTGGCTTGAAAAATCCCTCCAGGGCCCGATCCCTCCTCCTCCTCCAGGTTGTCTCCCAAAAGGAGCCAGAGCCGGGCCCACTAACGGTTGCTGGCTTCGGAACCCACGAGGGAAGCAAGGGAGACGGACGACTCTCCCGGGTCCTCCGTCCCGGGCCTGGGGGAGGTCTGGGCTGCCCGGGGCTCCCTCGGGACGGCGCTGTTCAACCACGGGGGCTTCCCACCCTCTACCCCCTCCCCGGCTGGCCGGCCTCTGGGGGGGGGCTTTCCTCCTCCTCCTCCTCCTCACCCTTGCATCTTTTAGCATTTTATTCGGTTTTCTCTTTCCCCGGGGGCATGTAGTCTGGACAGGTTGTTATAGCTACCCTGAACCGCAGGGGTTCCCCCCCTGGCTACTTAAACCCCATATCTTCCTCTCCCTATTTCCTCCACCCCCCTTTTTTCCCTTTATTTCTTTAAACACACACACACACACACCCTGATCCACATCATCCCACCCCTGCAAAAGCCACCCCCCCCCCAACCCGGCCGCCTGGTGGGCCGAGAAGTCCTTAATGATTCTTAACCCGCGATCGCTTCGCAATTAGCTCATTCTTTCGGGATTGGCGCAGGAGAAGCAAGACGGCGGCCCAGCTCCTTCCAATCCTTCCCCCCCTCCCTCCACTTGGGCCAGGATTGCTGGTCGGGACTCCTCGGAAGCAAGCGCCTGGAAACTTTCTCTCTCTGACCCCCATCCCCCGCCACTAGCCTTTCCTGCTCAAGGACTGCCTTCCGCATCTCCAGGCTGGAGGGATACCCAGCCGCCTACCCCATCAGCACCCCAAAATTTCTTCTTAAGATATTTTAATTTAATTTAATTTTTTTGCCCCCCTCCCCTCCTCTGCGGTCCATTTCCATCCTCTAAGAGAGAGGAGTAGCAAAACGAGGCCAGGGAAAGAAAGGAGGAGGCGGCGAGAGAGAAAGACAGAGAGAGACACATTTACCTGTATGGTCTGGGTAGATTAATTTTTAAATGTTTTTTCGGGGGGTGGGGTCTTTCCTCCGCCCTCCCCCCAGCACCCAAGGCGAGGAAGCAGGGAGCCTCGCCTCGCCTCGCCGGGGTTGTCCTTTCCAAGGGAAAAAAATAACAGCCACCCGAATCTGAAGGGGTCGTGGTCTTTTCTTCCCCCTCCGCTCGTGGGGGGCGAGATGGCTTTTTTAGGATCTATCCTCTTTCTCGGCGGCATGAGCCAAGTTCTATCGAGTTATCCCATTTGGTGGTAAGTGGAGTTCCTTATTCCTTGATTTTTGGGGGAATTGTTGGGGGGAGCATGAAAAGGACGCGATCCCCCCGATGTGCGTGGGTTTTGTTCTTTCCTGCCTTTCCTTTAGCAATCGTTTCTAGAACAGACGAAGTTTAACTTTCTTCTCGTCTCTAAGATGCTGAGTGTCTTGGAGGGTGGATGGGTGTGAGAAAGACAGAGAAAAAGAGAGAGATTGCGGCTTCTTAAAGGTGTTTAAAGAACGCACATACAGAATTTACGTCTTGTATTTATCTAAGCGCGGTTTGTTTTTATTGGGTGTACCGTCCTCCTACTATAAAATGTATGCGTGTGTGTGTTTTTAAATTCCATATATATATATATATATATGAAAAGGCGGGGAGGGAGAAAGAGAGAAGACAGAAGATTAGACTAGTTTTTTTTTCTTTTTTTCTTTTTAAACATGCTTTGATCCTCTCCCGGCAAGAACAAAAGGTACTAAGCGAATTAAACAGATAGTGATACAAGCCAACACGAGTTTTGCAAGGTGATTTTTGAGCTAGTCATGTGGAAGGGAAGGGGGGGGAGAGAGCAGAAAATCATTACTAAACGCGCGCGCACGTATTTCCATCCCGCGCCTGGTGTGGAATACATTTCACCGGAGAAGCGGGCATCAAAATAATTAAAATAAAATGCCTCGGAAACACGTGCGAAGCCAAGATCGAGAAACTGTCCGTATTTCAAAGGCCGCTTTTGGGGGGATGGAAAGGTTCGAGGAAAAAATCCTGGATTGTGTGGGTTGTCCGCAGCCCTCCGTCTTCCTTTAAAAGGAAAAAAAATCTTTATAAAAGTGTTCTGTTTTAGAGCCCGGGCGCTTCCCCCCCCCCTTCCTTGTCCAGGGGATCTTGTAAATTTCGAGTAAAATCCTGAATAAATCGTGCACCCGGAAGGCTCTGTCAACACAAGCCGCCTGCGAAACACGACGTGCCTTCTTGCTTTTAGTTCCAACCATATTTGTGTGTGGTTGTGTGTGTGTGTGACGGAGGCAGTGTGTGTGTTTTTAAATGTAAATAGAAATCTACATAGGCGCATCTTTCCCTTCTGTCTACGCCGTAGCTGCAGGACATCCCGAAAATTCAGCACCAAACGGAGGAGGGGTAACATACCTGGCTGCTTTTCCTTTCCACGTCTAAGGTGTGGGTCCAAAGGGGGGCCGTGTCTTCTCTTCCTATCCCTGCCTTGCCCTCCCTCGCCCCACCGATTTCCCATTGGTCTTCCATTCCCCACAGCCCCCGGAGCTCAAGAGGTGCATGTGTGTGTGCTCCAGTTCGATGCGGGGGGCGGCTGGCCCTCTCTTCTCTCCCCAACCTGGCAAAAGGCTTCGTCTTCCAAGACTGGCCGTCTGAAACAGGACCAGCCTGCAGGAGTCCTCGATTTCCCTGCAGAAAGAGAAACCGACCAAGGAAATTGACCAAAAAGGTCAATATCACAAGGAGCCCGCTTCAGACCCTTCTGACCCTCCAAAAATCAGCAGATATGTGGCGGAGTGTGTTGTGGGTGTGGAGGGTTAGCAAATATAAATTTCTCCTCCAAAGGAAGGGGAGAGAAACACCGAAGTTCACCCAAATCTAGGGGTGTTTTCTTTTTTTAGATGAAAAGTTGCGTGCCGCCGGCCCCAATCCCTTCCACCGCCTTGTCTGTGCGTTCCGACGACAGGGAACTCCCGGGAACAATTCTGCGCGGGCCACAGTGCCGGTGCGGAGCCCTTCCCCTTTAAGAAGTCGGATTTTCCTCTCTCTTCCCCCCCCCCCTTCTCCGCACACCCTGGAAGGAGAAATGCGAAGGGACTAACCCGAGCTGGAGGCGGGCGGGGGAAGAGCCGGAGCCAGCGAGAGCGAGCAGGTTGGGCGGGCATGTCGGAGCGCATCTGACCGATCAACGCGTAATTACAGACTCCGGGGAGGTGGAATGAGCAACGGGGGAAGAAGGAGCCGTCGGGGCCTCCTCCACGGCGAGGTTCCCGCCCCAGTGACCCCCCATCAGGCTTCCAGCAGCCCGGTGGGCGAGTAGCCCTCTCTCCCGTGCGTTCACACGTTTATCAAAGAGGCAACCTTCCGAGGCCTCGCGGCTCCCGTTCTTACTAGAGTCAGGGGAGGGCTTTTCAGGGAGGTTACAGACCCACCATCATCCCCTCTCCATCTCCAGAACCGTGGCCAGGGTGCCGGCCGGTTCCTGCCAAATCTAACGTCGGAAAAGGAAGGGGCTCAAACCCTCGTGTGGATGTACTGAGACCTAGCATTGGGGGGGGGGGCAGCGGAACTTTCCCAACGCTTTCCGCAAAGTTTAGGCTCTGACAGGGGCCTGGGGGGGGGGGGGGGCAGCGCGACTTTCCCAACGCTTTCCGCAAAGTGTAGGCTCTGACAGGGGCCTGCGGCAGGTGGCCATGAATGTGTGGGTCTGACTCGGTCCTGACGCCCATATTACACCCACCCTAGTTTTTTTGCACGTCGGAAAACAGCATCTCAGGACAGGAGCCTTGTCTGGAGGACAGGGAATGTCCTGTGACTCGGGATCCCGAGGCGTGGGGAGGCGCTCCTCATCTTCAGGAGCCTGGCACGATCCAGCAATAACTTGACCTCGGGGTTCCCACGGCCTGGGGCTTCGTCTGCATGCGGGCCACACGTGGATCTCCGATCGGCTTTATCAAGCCCTCCTCCTGGTTGTAAAAACGTTCAAGTTTACATTTCAAGGCCTCCAGTGTGTGTTTCATAGACAGGCAGCTGGTGAGAGCAGGTTCACACGTTACACAAAGTTGCCCGTGTGTGACGCTTCCGCCTACCTTCCAGGCTATCAACCCGGGGGTACAGAGGGGTGGTGAACGTGCTTTCGGACGTTAAGTCTTCATACCTTTAGCTATAGGGTTTTCCCCCCTTTAAAAATAATTTTAAAAGGTGGAATCTTAATTTCTGAAGAGGGAAGTAGCTGCTGGAAGACGTGAGGGCGGCTTCTGCAAACTAGATGCTTGTCAAACGCGTTGTGAACACAGAGCCTTCCTTCCCCGGCCTCCGTGTGGAGGAGGCAACTGGAGGGTGTAAAAAAATCTGAATATCGGAGCGGTTAAAGGGCATGTAAAGGAAGGAGAGCTTTTTTTGGCTGTCTTCCAGGTACCTGTCCACTCAATTGCAACAGGATCTGCGCAGTAACCGGCGGCATCCTCCTCTTCCCACGCGCTTTTCCAAAAGCCACCGGCCTTGTAACAGAAAAGGGAAAAGGCAGAATTTCAAACCGGCACAACAAAAAGTGTCTCGTTAAAAGTCGCCCTTCGTCCGCGCGCGAAATTTCCTGGAGGTCGAAACACCCGTGGATCGGCCCGATCCCCACTCTTGTTAAGCCGGAACGGCGAGGTGAATATGCTGGTCCCGGATAATTATTTTTAAAGCCCTTTTTAAGGGCGCACAAGTTGGAAGGAGGGGAATGAGTCTTTGGAAAGGACTCGGAGCGGGCCGCGAGCGCAGTGCGTAAAGCTTCCATCCCCAGTTTATGTCTCCCTTTGTCTCTTGATGGTTGTGTCTGTTAGGATGTTGACACACACAAACACACACAAACTCGAGGCCCTCTGAAATGGGACCTCGGGGGATCCTGGAAGCCGGCGCATGGACCGATCAGGGAGGGAGAGATTTTTCCAGCTGAAGATCCCAACTGGGAAATTTTAAGACAACGACTTGAAGTTTACGACCCCCACTGGTGGGAAATAGCTGGCAGAAGCGGGTGCTTCTGCCCCCCTGGTTTACTCGGTGCCACCTTGCCCAACACGCCTTGAATGTGGAATCTAAAATATTCCCCTCAATATATCCGACGGGTAAGAGAGGAAACAGAAGTCTTGCGCCAAGGAAATCCGGAGCCGATTCGGTCCCTTCTTCCAAACCCCCAAGAAGCAGAGATGGGAAAGATCTGGAACAGGCCGGATCCGGACTGAAGTTCTCTGCTTAAGTAGACCCGTCACGGTCAACTCGAGAGGAGTAGCTACTCCCGCAGGGAGGGATTGACGAGAAGAGATCCGCACGGAGGCACACTATAAAAATAATAATTTGGGATTTTTTAAAGGCAGAAGGCGCGAGGCAGGCGTGTGAAGAGACGAGCGGGGTTGAGGAAAAGGCCGTGGGGTCTGTCAGACCCGTTTGCGATAGCCGGGCTTCGACGGAGGGGTGTGTGTGTGTGTGTGTGTGTGTGTGTGTGTGTGTGTGTGTGTGTGTACCTACGTACACAACACGCGTGCACACACACATATATCCACACATAGAGTATGTGGATTATATCTTAAGTGTGTGGAGTGTGTACATTACACACACACACTCACACATACATACACACGCGCGCACACATTTTCTTTGCAGGCAAGGAGAGGGAATTCTCCAAATAGTTCAGGTATGACTGAGAGCACAAAGTAATAAAATGCAAATACGTTCCATGATAAGACAGGTTGCCTCCACACCTGGGCTGCAAGCGACGGATGTTTTAAAAAACAAGGGGAAAAACACAAACACGCATTTATCCATGAAAAAAAAAAGAGCAAATGCCAAATAGCTCAACATTTAGGCGTCTTTCCTGGAACTGCGGATCCTTGCCGGCTCCGTCTTTCGCGTGCGCTTCTTCAGCACAACTTCTCCCCTCCCCAAAAAATCCCACACGGCAGAGGGTTTAAGAGGAAAGGAGACCCTCCATCTAGGTTTATTCCGTTGAATGAACTGAGTTTTGTTTTTTTAAAAAAATGTTTTTGAAATCTAGCCTTCCCTTCTTTTCGTTTTTCTTGGTTTCTTGAGCCCAGGACGGGTTGAACTCCATGGGGCTTCCTTGAGAGGAGGCATGCTCGGGCATGTGCCGCTCCCTACAAGCCAAGATGGATCGTGGGGGGCGGGGAGGGAGGTTGAAGGGGGAGGCGGATCCCTGCGCGACTGTACAGCGCGATCCAAATCAGATTCACCCCAAAGTGGATCCGCTGGATTCGGAACCCACTTCTG